TGTTAATATACAAGGGGGCCATGTTCGTCTGTTGTTAACATACAGGGACTTCCTGTTGGTCTGTTGATAACATACAGTGCCTTCTTGTTGGTCTGTTGATAACATACAAGGACTTCCTGTTGGTCTATTGATAACATACAAGGACTTCTTGTTGGTCTGTTGTTAATATACAGGGACTTCTTGTTGGTCTGTTGTTAACATACAAGGACTTCTTGTTGGTCTGTTGATAACATACAAGGACTTCTTGTTGGTCTGTTGTTAATATACAGGGACTTCTTGTTGGTCTGTTGTTAACATACAAGGACTTCTTGTTGGTCTGTTGATAACATACAACGACTTCTTGTTGGTCTGTTGTTAATGTACAAGGGGTCCATGTTGGTCTGTTGTTAACATACAAGGACTTCCTGTTGGTCTGTTGATAACACACAAGGACTTCTTGTTGGTCTGTTGTTAATATACAGGGACTTCTTGTTGGTCTGTTGTTAATATACAAGGGGTCCATTTTGGTCTGTTGTTAACATACAGGGACTTCCTGTTGGTCTGTTGATAACATACAAGGACTTCTTGTTGGCCTGTTGTTAATATACAGGGACTTCATGTTGGTCTGTTGTTAACATACAACGACTTCTTGTTGGTATGTTGTTAACATGCAATGACTTCTTGTTGGTCTGTTGTTAACATACAACGACTTCTTGTTGGTCTGTTGTTAACATACAGAGACTTCCTGTTGGTATGTTGATAACATACAAGGACTTCTTGTTGGTCTGTTGTTAATATACAAGGGGGCCATGTTGGTCTGTTGTTAACATACAGGGACTTCCTGTTGGACTGTTGATAACATACAGTGCCTTCTTGTTGGTCTGTTGATAACATACAAGGACTTCCTGTTGGTCTATTGATAACATACAAGGACTTCTTGTTGGTCTGTTGTTAACATACAGGGACTTCTTGTTGGTCTGTTGTTAACATACAAGGACTTCTTGTTGGTCTGTTGATAACATACAAGGACTTCTTGTTGGTCTGTTGTTAATATACAAGGACTTCTTGTTGGTCTGTTGTTAATATACAAGAAGTCCATTTTGGTCTGTTGTTAACATACAGGGACTTCCTGTTGGTCTGTTGATAACATACAAGGACTTCTTGTTGGTCTGTTGTTAATATACATGGACTTCTTGTTGGTCTGTTGATAATATACAAGGGGTCCATGTTGGTCTGTTGTTAACATACAAGGACTTCTTGTTGGTCTGTTGTTAATATACAGGGACTTCTTGTTGGTCTGTTGTTAACATACAACGACTTCTTGTTGGTCTGTTGTTAATATACATGGACTTCTTGTTGGTCTGTTGTTAACATGCAATGACTTCTTGTTGGTCTGTTGATAACATACAAGGACTTCTTGTTGGTCTGTTGTTAACATACAGAGACTTCCTGTTGGTCTGTTGATAACATACAAGGACTTCTTGCTGGTCTGTTGTTAATATACATGGACTTCTTGTTGGTCTGTTGTTAATATACAAGGGGGCCATGTTGGTCTGTTGTTAACATACAGGGACTTCCTGTTGATCAGTTGTTAACATACAGGGACTTCTTGTTGATCTGTTGTTAACATACAACGGCTTCTTGTGAGTCTATTGTTAACATACAGGGACTTCCTGTTGATCTGTTGTTAACATACAATGGCTTCTTGTGGGTCTATTGTTAACATACAGGGACTTCTTTTTGGTCTGTTAACATACAATGGCTTCTTGTTGGTCTGTTGTTTACATACAGGGACTTCCTGTTGAATTGTTGTTACACAGCTTAGTAGAGTGTACCACAGCTCAGTAGAGTGAAACATGGATCAGTAGAGCGTAACATTGATCAGTAGAGTGTAACATGGATCAGTAGAGTGTCACATGGATCAGTAGAGTGTAACATGGATCAGTAGAGCGTAACTTGGATTAGTAGAGTGTAACATAGCTCAGTTGAGTGTAACATGGATCAGTAGAGTGTAACGTGGATCAGTAGAGTGTAACATGGATCAGTAGAGTTTGACATAGCTCAGTAGAGTGGTACATAGCTCAGTAGAGTGTACCACATCTCAGTAGAGTGTAACATAGCTCAGTAGAGTGCAACATGGGTCAGTAGAGCATACCACAGCTCAGTAGAGTGTTACATGGATCAGTAGAGTGTAACATGGATCAGAAGAGTGTAACATAGCTCAGTAGACTGTTATATGGATCAGTAGAGTGTAACATGGATCAGAAGAGTGTAACATGGATCAGTAGAGTGTAACATGGATCAGAAGAGTGTAACATGGATCAGTAGAGTGTAACATGGATCAGTAGTGTGTAACATAGTTCAGTATAGTGTAACATGGATCAGTAGAGTGTAACATGGATCAGAAGAGTGTAACATGGATCAGTAGAGTGTAACATGGATCAGAAGAGTGTAACATGGATCAGTAGAGTGTAACATGGATCAGTAGAGTGTAACATGGATCAGTAGAGCGTAACATGGATCAGTAGTGTGTAACATAGTTCAGTAGAGTGTAACATGAATCAGTAGTGTGTAACATAGTTCAGTAGAGTGTAACATGGATCAGAAGAGTGTAACATGGATCAGTAGAGTGTAACATGGATCAGTAGAGTGTAACATGGATCAGTAGAGTGTAACATGGATCAGTAGTGTGTAACATAGTTCAGTAGAGTGTAACATGGATCAGTAGAGCGTAACATGGATCAGTAGAGCGTACCACAGCTCAGTAGACTGTAACATGGATCAGTAGAGTGTAACATGGATCAGAAGAGTGTAACATGGATCAGTAGAGTGTAACATGGATCAGTAGACTGTAACATGGATCAGTAGAGTGTACCACAGCTCAGTAGACTGTAACATGGATCAGTAGAGTGTAACATGGATCAGAAGAGTGTAACATGGATCAGAAGAGTGTAACATAGTTCAGTAGAGTGTAACATGAATCAGTAGTGTGTAACATAGTTCAGTAGAGTGTAACATGGATCAGAAGAGTGTAACATGGATCAGTAGAGTGTAACATGGATCAGTAGAGTGTAACATGGATCAGTAGAGTGTAACATAGCTCAGTAGAGTGTAACATGGATCAGTAGAGTGTAACATAGCTCAGTTGAGTGTAACATGGATCAGTAGAGTGTAACATTGATCAGTAGAGCGTAACATGGATCAGTAGAGTGTAACATGGATCAGTGGAGTGTAACATGGATCAGTAGAGTGTTACATGGATCAGTATAGTGTAACATGGATCAGTAGAGTGTACCACAGCTCAGTAGAGTGTAACAGCTCTGTGGAGTGCTACATGGATCAGTAGAGTGTACCATAGCTCAATAGAGTGTAACATGGATCAGTAGAGTGTAACATGGATCAGTAGAGCGTAACATGGATCAGTAGAGCGTACCACAGCTCAATAGAGTGTAACATGGATCAGTAGAGTGTAACATGGATCAGTAGACGGTAACATGGATCAGTAGAGTGTACCACAGCTCAGTAGAGTGTAACAGCTCTGTGGAGTGCTACATGGATCAGTAGAGTGTACCATAGCTCAATAGAGTGTTACATGGATCAGTAGAGTGTAACATGGATCAGTAGAGTGTAACATGGATCAGTAGAGTGTAACATGGATCAGTAGAGTGTAACATAGCTCAGTAGAGTGTAACATGGATCAGTAGACTGTAACATGGATCAGTAGAGTGTACCACAGCTCAGTAGAGTGTAACAGCTCTGTGGAGTGCTACATGGATCAGTAGAGTGTACCATAGCTCAATAGAGTGTTACATGGATCAGTAGAGTGTAACATGGATCAGTAGAGTGTACCACAGCTCAGTAGAGTGTAACAGCTCTGTGGAGTGCTTCATGGATCAGCAGAGTGTTACATGGATCAGTAGAGTGTAACATGGATCAGTAGAGTGTAACATGGATCAGTAGAGCGTAACATGGATCAGTAGAGTGTAACATGGATCAGTAGAGTGTAACATGGATCAGTAGAGTGTAACATGGATCAGTAGAGTGTAACATGGATCAGTAGAGCGTAACATGGATCAGTAGAGTGTAACATGGATCAGTAGAGTGTAACATGGATCAGTAGAGTGTAACATGGATCAGTAGAGTGTAACATGGATCAGTAGAGTGTAACATGGATCAGTAGAGTGTAACATGGATCAGTAGAGCGTAACATGGATCAGTAGAGTGTAACATGGATCAGTAGAGTGTAACATGGATCAGTAGAGTGTAACATGGATCAGTAGAGTGTAACATGGATCAGTAGAGCGTAACATGGATCAGTAGAGTGTAACATGGATCAGTAGAGTGTAACATGGATCAGTAGAGTGTAACATGGATCAGTAGAGTGTAACATGGATCAGTAGAGTGTAACATGGATCAGTAGAGCGTAACATGGATCAGTAGAGTGTAACATGGATCAGTAGAGTGTAACATGGATCAGTAGAGTGTAACATGGATCAGTAGAGTGTAACATGGATCAGTAGAGTGTAACATGGATCAGTAGAGTGTAACATGGATCAGTAGAGTGTTACATGGATCAGTAGAGTGCATCATGGCTCTGTGAAATGTAGCTCACCTCCGTCAGTGTGACAGGTCAGTATAGTTGGGCGTAGCCCCGTACAGTAAGGCATGTACAGTGTACAGACGACCAGTACAGTGTACAGACGACCAGTACAGTGTACAGACGACCAGTACAGTGTACAGACGACCAGTACAGTTACAGACGACCAGTACAGTTACAGACGACCAGTACAGTTACAGACGAGTGCAGTCCGTTCTGCCAAGCACGGCCTTTATTTCACCAGCCAGGAGTTTCAATACATCTGCCCCGCCATGCATGCGTATTCATAAACATCTCAATGAGAGCGTATTGCAATGTAAAGTCGGTTGAACATCGATATGTTCCCCGTTACTGGACCCAACTGTATAACGTTGTCAAGAATCGCTGTTATACACGGTGAGGCTACACACGGGTACAATTCTTATAGAACAGGTGTTACTATTGACTGTAATGGTCTATACGTGTATGTATAACCATATTGTTGTTTGGGCAGGGAGATATATACTATATTCCTCTATGACGATGGACACGGTGATATCACTAAGTGACGGCCATACAGATCTGAGGGAGTATTCAGAATGATATCAAGGTCGGTCGCGTATGGATCTAAAAAAAGGTAATGATCCCGAACGACAGGCGTAATGATCAGAATTGATCTGTTTTGCTTGTATATACTTACCAAGCCCCATTGCGCTCAGAATTGAATTTAGAAAGTCGATAACGAAGTGTACCTACACAAGAGACGCCATCAAGGTTTTCATCAAAGTTGCTTTCAAGTGGGGACAAAGAGGTTAGATTATTGTTGTCGGGTTTTCAATATAATCATGTTCCTTGATTTAAAGCTTTATTTGGCATCAGGTACGTGAACAACATATTTATTCCCTCGCCTCAGTCAACACGAAGCACTAATAATGAGGCAGGGTCTCGCTCGCACCGACAGGCCATTATTGCTCCGAGTAAATAACCCAAGGCATTGTCCCTCGATACATAAATCTGATCCGAGAGTCAGTTTATTGTGTGACGTGGTATCTCAAGACCGATGCTATTTTCATTACATCTCAACCACTCCATGCACGGAATACAACGATGACATTGTGGTTACTGTCGGGGCTGTTCAGTGACGTAATGTGTCACGTGACTACTGCTACTCAGGTAGGGGGAATATGACTGTATATATCACTATGGCATGTGGAAATCACAGCGCGGGCATGGCTTTGACACAGGTAGGAATTGTATGTTGAGAATTATCATCCGCCACATTCTTGTTGACTCTACATCCTGACAAGCCCCTCGTGCAGATCGACTAACGCAGGGTGGGTTGGTGGGTCAGCGGTAGTTCGTTGTGTTCGATTCCATATGTGGTGTTGTCAATGGTTACACGACAGTGGAATGACACCGTGGCCAACATGGATTTCTTGGAAAAGGGGTTTGTCGCTTTTGTTCAACTGACTGTGAACGTGAGAGATGTATATATGAACAATCTCCGAGAATTAACATGACATTTGTATAATTCCATCGCGATCGTAAATAAAATATCCTAGAAAGTGAATGCCATTGTACTTCAGTAACGAGCATCGTTTATAGTAGTGTGTGTCAAAGCAACATTAAATCTACTCGCGGTTTTATTGTCAACAACAATAATCATTCCAAGTTAATGTTTTATTTTGCTGAACATAATTTGCCAATATCAGTATGATTTCTCAGTGCCGATGAAGATAATTTTTTAGAATTAAGTTACGTAACAACACCGGATCGTTTTGTCTTCCTCGTTCGTTTCCAGAACAAATTGTAAACTCCGCTTCAGCCCCTTAAGGTAAGGATACATGACTGATACAATAATTAGCTTTTATTATTAGTTGAATTGACAGTACTTGTTTGTTTGTTGTTTACGCCGCACTCAGCAATATTCCAGCTATATGACGGCAGTCTGTAATTATTCGAATCTGGACCAGACAACCCAGTGATTGACATCATGAGCATTGATCTACGCAATTAGGATCGATGACATGCATCAACCAAGTCAGCGAGCCTGACCACCCGATCCCGTTTGTCGCTTCTTACGACAAGCATAGTCGCCTTTTACGGCACGCAAAGGTTGCTGAAGACCTACACTACCCCGGGTCGAACGGTTAGTAACAGACAGGTTTGGTGTGTTGACTGTATCATACATTATGTCATGAAGCGGCCCTGTATTATCTTGTCAACGTGGCAAACACTCGTTTATGTATTCGATGTGGTAAACTGCCGGGCAAAAGAAAGTATACCCTTGAAAATTGGATTTGTCCAGAATAGTACAGGCGTTATCAAAACGTTACTAGGCTGAACGAAAAACAGTCGCCGAAACACTGTATCATGGTCCAAAACATATCTATGATACCCGTAGGAAATACAACACCACTGTACCGCAGAATTATTATAGAAGCATTATTTGGAAGAAACGTTTCATAAAGTGAGTTAAAATTTAACGTCGCGTCCGCGTTATTTCAGCCATACAGCGACCGTTTTATAAAGAAGCGTTCTGAAAAAGGAGCATTTTGCAGATGAAGTGTTGTGTGATGTACATAAAATACATTCTGTTATGAAGCGTTATGAAGAAAAGAAAAATTGTAGAATAATAGTTATTTACGGAAAGGGTTTTTAAAGAGGCATTATGAAAAGGAAACGGTATGTAGAAGAATTGCGTACAACGAGAAGAACGATCCCTCTCCATAATCATGAGAAATGTTTGACCATTGTACGACGTTCTTCCTCACAAAGCAAGGGTGTTTTTAACTGACTTTTAATATCCAGTTTCCAAGTGGAAACTAGACTTATAAAGTCAGTAAACTCCCTTGATTCGGGAAGATGTACGACGTTATGTTGAACACATTGTGATAGAATAAAAATGATTTTGAAAACGCTGTGTCGAAGTAAGATTATGTTGAGGAGGTTTTGTAGACAAACATGGTTTCCAGAAGAATTGACAGTCGTTATTAACATCATCAATATAGGAAGTCGGGAGACATCATACCAGTCGGCAACTTCCGGAAAGCTGTTGTGAAATAATTTCCTAACACGTGATCTAGTGACACCTGCATGGGCTTTATCCTTGTGTATCCTACCGCCACTTGACAATACTTCCCGGTCTTAAAACAAAACACACATTCCACCGTAGCCTGAACACTTGACAGCGGTCGTTCAAACAGTCGGCGGCCGAGTGATCTACAAGCATTGATTTCAACAAATCCAGGACTTTATCGGGAATAAACGTAGTGTCACATTCTCAACTAGATTACAATAATTGAGTATGGGTTGTCAGGGGACTTTCCCTTGTGTTATTGTGTGCATTTTAAGTATGTATATACTCTTAGTAGTCTGGGTTCACGCGGTGCACGTCCAGTAATCGTGTACAGTGTATTGAAACAGTGCTGGGGCGGTCGGGTAGCCTCGTGGTTAAATGGGCACAATGTGTGAAGCCCATTTCTGGTGTCCCCCGCCGTGATATTGCTTAAATATTGCTAAAAGCGTCGTAAAATCACACTCACTCACTCACTCACTCACTCACTCACTCACTCACTCACTCACTCACTCACTCACTCACTCACTCACTCACTCACTCACTCACTCACTCACTCACTCACTCACTCACTCACTCACTCACTCACTCACTCACTCACTCACTCACTCACTCACTCACTCACTCACTCACTCACTCACTCACTCACTCACTCACTCACTCACTCACTCACTCACTCACTCACTCACTCACTCACTCACTCACTCACTCACTCACTCACTCACTCACTCACTCACTCACTCACTCACTCACTCACTCACTCACTCACTCACTCACTCACTCACTCACTCACTCACTCACTCACTCACTCACTCACTCACTCACTCACTCACTCACTCACTCACTCACTCACTCACTCACTCACTCACTCACTCACTCACTCACTCACTCACTCACTCACTCACTCACTCACTCACTCACTCACTCACTCACTCACTCACTCACTCACTCACTCACTCACTCACTCACTCACTCACTCACTCACTCACTCACTCACTCACTCACTCACTCACTCACTCACTCACTCACTCACTCACTCACTCACTCACTCACTCACTCACTCACTCACTCACTCACTCACTCAACGTCTCCGCTGGCCGGCTCTATCTAATCCTGGTAATACATTTACCAATCACAGAGCATTGGCGATCCCTAAGCAATCTCAAAGTCCAGTAGCCTGAAATATTTGGACACTTGATGGCTGAAGTCCCATCCAGTGTCTTTGTTGACATTGATTACGGTTGGCAGGGCGATGTACCCGATCTTTCTCCCATGCGTTCGGAGTGTTTCTGATGTTGACTGCCCTATACTCCGAAACACTACAGTTCAGTGTATCCTACATTAAATCTGAATTTGCATGCGTAAGTATGTTTTTTGAGTGAGTGAGTGTTGTTTTACGCCAGCAATAACCCGTGCATTCGGTGTGAAGAGCGAACACTTTAACCACTAGGCGTCTCCACCGCCTCCAATACAATCGAAGATCATGGCAATAAACGGGACGTACATTCTTGGTACATTATTTTAGCTTTGATATCACAGGGCCTCGCAGGTCGCGAAGATTCACAAACACATGTACGGTGCAGATAAACCAACTATAATAGTTGAGATGAATCGTGGATTCGAACTCACTTCCAGCGTATCCTGGCATGACTAAGAGAATAATAATATTAATATTGATATTGATTAATATCAATATGTACGCACGCATTGAACACGCACACCCTCTCCGCCCCTCCCAAACAACAAAAAAGTTCGTTTCGTTCGACTGATGTTCTTACAAATAGTGTTGGAGCTTCACTAACATTGTTTGCTCATCCTTTTTTTGTTTCTTTTTTTTTTGTAGTAAATCTATTCATTCTGGAATGTACAAACTTTCCGTGTTAAAAATCGTGCATTGTGTGCAACAAATAGCCAACCCATGTTGGGATTGTGTCATAGCTCCCCGTGTTTGATGGAAGATGCTTTCTGTATCTGTTGACATGCACGGTGCATGCAGCTGTCTTCTTCATGGGTTTCACTTGCCTCTGTTTGCAACTGGGACTTCTGCCGGGCGCATAGCATTAGTTCTAGCCATATATGGCATATATATTGGGATCATGTTCCTCCCGGACAGGAAGTTGTAAAAATATGCCATATCAATACGTCATTGCTCATTCTGTCTCACACACAAAGTACGTCTTGATGGATGGATGATGCTACTTATTATTTCAGACCCTATTGATGGAGTGATGGGCAATAGAGGGGATTCCCAAGACTCGGAGCTGAACGTGGTACTCTTGACCAAAGCCACCATGACGCCATGACAGTTGCACGTAGATAGAATGGGTTATGGCAGCAACGATTTCCATGAGAAACCTCCACTAAACAAGGTCGGACAAGAGACGATGTCGACTGGGCAGAAGACGCATCGGCGTGTTCAAAATGGCGGTGATAGTGCTGACGTTAAACCTGTGAGGTTGAAACTGGGTCAAAACACCGCAGAGCCGGACACTAGTCAGTTGTCGTTTGAACAAATGTGGGAATTACAGCGGGTGACTGACAAACGCGTTAAGAACAGAGTCTCGGAAGGCCTGTCTCCAGAAGGCAAGATGGCGATGGAACAAGCAAAGACGGAGCTTGAACTCTCCAGGAAGGACGGAAGGATTAAAAATGGCGCCTTAAACAGAACCATAACCGATAGCCAAAATAGCAATCACAAGAAACGCGGAAAAGTTAAAAAGCAAATAAGTTTTGTCGACGCATATGAAAGTTCGTCTGCTTCGAGACTCTCCGGGGACCTCCTGGACGAGAGTTCCGGTGACAGGACTCAACGACGTCGTGCACTCGGCGGAGGCAATGTTTGTGTCGCCATGGAAACGGTAGAGATTGTCAGCTACGGGGAAACGCCTAGTGATTCGGAAGCAGACGACATTGCAATTGAGGAAACGGCGAAACTGAATTCTGTGGAGAAATGTCTTGTTTGGATGGGAGTCCATAGCCAAGAAGGTTGACCCACTTGGAGATGATAGCGTGGGTACAGAGGGCTCGGGGATGAATACATGTTTAAAGGGGGTGTCACGTGGGCTGAAATTGTGTCACCACAGTGTAAACGTAAGGTGGAGATATTCATCATAGTTCGAACTTACATTTGCACTCTCTGGGCTGCTTGAGTGTAACGTAGACCAGCTCTTGCTGCACGTTCTACAGAGACGTCTAAACGTCTAAAAGATAAACACAACTAGACGTTTCAGTTTGAAGAAGCATTGTGAAGTGAGATAGAGAATTATATTTGTACCAAGAATGGATTCCGTGCTTGCATAAAACATTAAATACAATTCCAGTTTTGATAAACTGATTTAACTTACTTTACATGTAAATACATTATTTCATTGGTCAGTGACGTGGTGATAACTTGCCTCTCATCCCGCTAAAGCGGTTTACACTTGGGAAATATATACCCGCTGTCATGGTAACAGGCATTTTGTAGATATCTGCCCGATCTCTGTAATCTGTGGGATTCAAATTCAGCAACGCAACGAAGGATAATTTATATTAACTTTAGATGTACGTGGTGCACAGAGCCGGCAAACAAGCACACTGTCGTCTGGTAATATGAAATGCGTAATATCTACGTTTGGTTTCAAATTATGGTAAATTGAAAAACATAAATAAATGAGATAAATTCGTATAATACGTTTTGATTTAACCTTTTGTGTCTGTGTTCCCTGAGCCAACACGCTCGACTTCCACATGACCGGAAATGACTGTTCTTAAAATATTACGAAATTTTCCTGTTTGTGCAACCTGGTTCCCCCGGTATGCTGCGCTGGCGCCAGCGCATCATACCCAGGGAACCATGCCGCTGTTATATCGTATACAAATACCCAGAACAACTGAGCACTTCCGGTGATAAATGTGTGTTGCAACTTGCTTGTACATAATACAGCGGTTATCTTCGCGAGAGTTATCTGCAATATGTTACAATGCTATGTCATTATATGCTTTCATAATCCTGAATATTGATGTAATACCAATGTAACTATTGTGTATTTCGTGTGTATTTTTTAAGAATGGATGATATATCATGACTTCTGAACTTGTCATTTCAATAAAGGGTGCTGATGCAGCGTTAATCACTCACTCACTCACTCAAATAAAGGGTTGAAAGTTGTTTAATACCCGTGAAGATCCGGGGTTGAATAGATCTTCAGCAACCCATTCTTGCCGTAAAAGTCGAGTATGCTTGTCGTAAGAGGCGACTGACTGGATCGGGTGGTCAGGCTCGCTGACTTGGTTGATTCCTGTCCTCGTATCCCAATTGCATAGATCGATGCACATGTCAATCACTGGATTGTCTGGTCCAGATTCAAATAATTACAGACCTAATTACATATAGCTGGAACATTGCTGAGTGCGGCGTTAAACAACAAACAAAACAAAACAAAACGACTCCCTCCGCCATCACAACGCAACCTAAGAGGATTACTTGACGGCATTGAACAACAAACAAACAAACAAATATACCACGTAGGATCCTCTTGGTGCAAGAATCGTTGATTTATATGAGTTACGTGATGGAGAGATTCAACAACAATAGCGTGACGACATGCCAATGGCCAAGACACTAATAATTATATAGTGAGTGAGTATTGTTTTACGCTACTTTAAGCAATATTGCAGCAGCTCGGTAGGGTCGCCTACTGGTTAAAGCTTTCGCTCGTCTCGACGAAGACCGAGGCTCGATTCCCAACATGGGTAAAATGTGTGAAGCCCATTTCTGGTGTCCCCCGCCGTGATATTGATGGAATATTGCTAGAAGCGGCGTAAAACCATACTCACTCACTCAATATTGCAGCAATGCCATGGCGTCACACATTGTATCCATGTAATATACAGACATACATGTTTATGCTGAGGTTACGCTGAGGTTACGGCCTAGATGTTCTGTGGTCGGCTCCAGTCTGGATTGCGTGATGAATAATAGATGAGGTCGTGCCGTCACGGAGGAAGCCTGATTACCTGCACAACTAACAACAGTTACGTCTTCTTCCACTGACTAGCCGCAAAGATTAGAAAAGGTAATAAACCAGAAATAATGTGGACCGAAAGTGCCGTGTTCGCGCAACAAAATCCCGTGCGGTAATTACTTCACGAAGTAGACCCGTGAATATCAGGAGGTCTTCAGCAACCCATGCTTGGCGTAAAAGGCGACTATGCTTGTCGTAAGAGGCGACTAACGTGATCGGGTGGTCAGAGCCGCTGACTTGGTTGATGCATGTCATCGTATCCCAATTGCAAAGATCGATGCACATGATGTCAATCACTGGATTGTCTGGTCCAGACGCGATTATTTACAGACCGCCGTCATATAGCTGGAATATTGCTGAGTGGGGCGTTAAACAACAAACCAAACAAAACAAAACTTCCCTCCACCATCACAACGCAGCCTAAGAGGATAAAGTGTCTGACTACTTGACACATGCACCCCACCAGTCACACTCACAAGCGCTATTTGTAAACACTGCTCTCGCGATGATCTTAATTGCGCGTTGTACAATTGTTGAGAATCGCACTCGGGTCATCGGCTTTACTAGCCAACTTCATCCACGGGGCTTCCACACCTCCCAAACTAAGGATTTGTTTGTTTGTTTGTTTGTTTGTTTGTTTGTTGTTTAACGCTGCACTCAGCAATATTCTAGCGATATGACGGCGGTCTGTAAATAATCGAATCCGGACGAGACAATCCAGTAATTGACATCATGAGCATCGATGTACGCAATTGGGTTAGTCGCCTCTTACGACAAGCATGATAGTCGCCTCTTACGAGAAGCATGATAGTCGCCTCTTACGAGAAGCATGATAGTCGCCTCTTACGAGAAGCATGATAGTCGCCTCTTACGAGAAGCATGATAGTCGCCTCTTACGAGAAGCATGATAGTCGCCTCTTACGAGAAGCATGATAGTCGCCTCTTACGAGAAGCATGATAGTCGTATCTTACGAGAAGCATGATAGTCGCCTCTTACGAGAAGCATGATAGTCGCCTCTTACGAGAAGCATGATAGTCGTATCTTACGAGAAGCATGATAGTCGTCTCTTACGAGAAGCATGATAGTCGCCTCTTACGAGAAGCATGATAGTCGTCTCTTACGAGAAGCATGATAGTCGCCTCTTACGAGAAGCATGATAGTCGTATCTTACGAGAAGCATGATAGTCGCCTCTTACGAGAAGCATGATTGTCGCCTCTTACGAGAAGCATAGTCGTCTCTTACGACAAGCATGATTGTCGCCTCTTACGAGAAGCATGATTGTCGCCTCTTACGAGAAGCATAGTCGTCTCTTACGAGAAGCATGATTGTCGCCTCTTACGAGAAGCATGATTGTCGCCTCTTACGAGAAGCATAGTCGTCTCTTACGACAAGCATAGTCGCCTCTTACGACAAGCATGATTGTCGCCTCTTACGACATGCATAGTCGCCTCTAACGACAAGCATAGCTGCCTCTTACGAAAGAATTGGGTTGCTGAAGACCATTTCTACCCCGGGTCGGTCTCCCTACTAAAGATGGTGGGAGAAAGAAGCTCTGGCTTCATGTCACAGTTTCAAAATCACTTGTCTTAGGCAGACATCAAAACATCATTGCGGGGGTTAAAGTTCAAACTACAAATACAAAATACAAATGTTTTCGTAAGAGCCGACATCAACAAACATCGGGTAGATTGTATAACTTCCCATCGTAAGGCGAGGATAAAGTCGGGTAGATTCTATAACTTCCCATCGCAAGGCGAGGGTAAAGTCGGGTAGATTGTATAACTTCCCATCGCAAGGCGAGGGTAAAGTCGGGTAGATTGTATAACTTCCCATTTTAAGGCGAGGATTAAGTCGGCAAGATTGCATAACTACCCATTGTAAGGCGGGGGTAAAGTCGGGTAGATTGTATAGCTACCCATTGTAAGGTGAGTAACATTTGTGACCGAGACTTAGTTAAAACAAAGTCACATGAATGTTCGTGTGAATTGGGTCGTGCGCATTTATGCTGTAATCCTCCAGTAGTCGGTGTATTGCAGATAAACCCTCCAATAGTTAACAACTAATGTTCACCCTCCAGTAGTTATCAACTAATGTGCACCCTCCAATAGTTTAAACTCCATTACCCGATCATGTCAGTCGAACCGTGTTTGTGAACTTTGATAGACAAAACGTAGAAACGCACCCTCCCAATTAGTTAAGGAACTACGCTCACCATTGGTTTGCATATGCCAGTCGACGTTCGCACGTTTCACTGCAACACATAACCACAATAGTTTGGCAGGCTTTTCTTCTGCAATGAACATGCCGCCGTGATATAACTGAAGTTCTGTTTGTAATAAAGGCGCTAAATCCCAAATACACGAACCGTCCTGTATTTGTGTTAACACTATAAAACTACCATGATGTCTGTCCTCTGAGGTAAATGAAACGGAGACACATTAGAAATTAAATTTATTTCAGAAAGACAACGACAAAGTTGCCCCATCTGGTAATACGAGTTTCATGGATTTTTTTGCTGCACTCTCGGCTGTAGTTGTTTCAGTTACTGCGAGAGTTGACGTTTCATCCAGAACCGCTGTAGGTTGGTTGGTTGGTTTGTTGTTTTACGCCGCACTCAGCAATATTCCAGCTATATGACGGCGGTCTGAAAATAATCGAGTCTGGACCAGACGATCCAGTGATTGATATCCTGACAACTCGATCCCGTTAGCCGCCTCTTACGACAAGCATAGTCGCCTTTTACAGCAAGCATGGGTTGCTGAAGACCTATACTACCCCGGATCTTCACAGGTCACCGCTGTAGCTGTCAACATTGCCTCAACCGATGTAGAGGCAGTGGATGTCAACGTTTTCGAAGTTGAGATAGCAGAACCAGAGGCGGCAGATCCCAAAAGGGCACTAAACCCCAAATACAGGAACCGTCCTGTATTTGTGTTAACACTATAAAACTACCATGATTTCTGACAGAAACAACATTTGCCTGTCTTTTCTAAATGCCAATACCCTGCTTAGCTAATGACTTCATGCGAGCATCCAAGACGTTTCTCATCCCCTTGAAATAAGGAGACTCGTTAACGTTAATCTGGATATCTTCGGCGATAGTATTGCGATGAGGCGATCGCGATCAGTTCATATAACGTATTTCCCCGATATTTTTCGCCCTTTAGGTTTCGTACTTCCACC